AAGTTTCATGCTCGTCTTTATTTTCAGATTCGCTGGCTTCTTTGTTCACCATCATTTTCTATTTCTTCATTTCGTTGAATTCGTCAATTGTATGTTGTTGTTGTTGTGCTTGTACAGTGTGTGGTGTGTGCGTTTTATTACACATATCTACTATGCTGCCACTGTCCTTGTTGATATTATTATTGTTGCTTCTGTTGCTGCTGCTGTTGCCGTTGCCCGAATGCCGAGTGTGCGTTTTTAGTGCGGCAAATGTCAGTGTTATGTGTGACAGATGGTCACATATTAATCTATATAAATTTATATTCCATTCAGTTAAACAAAGCGTCTGCCTTGTATGACTAACAACTATCTCTCGCTCACTCTCGGCTTCAGTCAAAAACCAAAAGAAATACAACACCATTTTTTTCACACACACACACACACACACTCTCTCTCTCTCTCTCTCTCTTTCTCCATTTTTCCGATATTTTGTATCAAGCAAAAGTGAATAAAAAAAGGGGCCAATATTTGCGTGGTGATGCCAATACCAATCATCATCGATATCAATGGAAATCGTGAATTAAATGATTAGACGAGCAAAAGAAAGCGAGCAAGCGGAAAAGAGAGACAATAACAGCAGCAGCATGCAAAAACAGCAATTGTAGTCGATTTTTCGGCTGTTATTTGTTTGGATCGTATTTAACTTTGACCCCGGCCCAAAAACGGTAGATTCTAAACCGAAAAGTGCCATTGTTGACAATATATATATTATTTGGTTAACTCACTGTTGGATGGATGGATGGATGATTGTTGAAAAAATAAGCACTAAATAAAGCAAACGCAGATAAACGCGGTTCTGGTAGGTAGTTTGGGTTGCTAGAGAGCCAGCTAAAATACATTTCATTCCATTGTAATCGAGATGAGTCAAGGCGAGAAAGAGCGAAACAGGCGAGAGAGAGAGAGAGAGTACGTTTTCAAGCCTCGAAGCCGCAATGAAGGGGGAGAGATTCACGGCTGGCTGATGCACACAAAGAGCATAACTATTAAATTGAAATCATAAAAGCGGCGTGCGATGGTGGCAGCAGCAACGATATACATTTGTAATTTAATGCGCATAATAATCATTTTCTTATGCTTCGTTGTTGTTGTTTTTTATTCTCTCAGTTTTTATTTTTTTCAATATTCTTTCTTTGTCATCTTGTGTATCTCACTCGCCCTCCCGCTCTGTCATTGTGTTTTGTGTGTGTGTGTGTGTGTGCACTGTGCCGTTGTCAGCAAGACAAGAGAACTCTTATTCATTTGCCTCACACTCTGTATAGAGATGTTGTGCCTTTTATTATACTATATGCGCTCAACTCGCTCTCCGCATCTTTTTAATGATTCATTCAGGCCAATGTGCAGATGAGAGAGTGAACGACAAACGGGTAGCAAAACAGTTTATGAAAATACTCATTTTATATAGATATATAATACGTATATCAATACATATTTCATCGTTGCGTTTGGCGCGAAACGTCATTTCATTTGACCCGTAAACGTATGATAATGATTTTTGACATGATTTGCATACACACGCTATTTATAATATTTTGAAGGCAACTCGTTTTTTTCCCACATTCAATCATACGCCATCCACCACGAGTTTGTTGAATCTGAATAACGAGAGATATGTTTTGATTGATAACGAGTAGCGTGCTTGCATCTAAAGCATCTCATTAGTGATGATTATTTCATTTGAAAAAAAGCAGTGATGAATAAAATCGCCAGCAAAATTGAATTTAGAGAATTGTCGAAAGAACAGAAGTGACAAAAGAGCAATCGGACCCGCGCCCGTGCGCTCGCACAAACAAAACAATATAGAAACAAATCGCTTTTCAATAATAAACGGCCAATCAATTTTTCATTCACTTAAACCGAGAGTAAATAGGCAATATATTTTCACAAATCGCTCGAGTGGCTTTGCGCACAATCTGTGAAAATAAAATGAGAGAGATACATGTTACGCTGAGCGCATACATAAAGGAAAAATTGGATCAAATCCACGACAAATGTGTGAATACAAAGTATAAAATTAGTGTGAACATGCAATTTAATGCGAAAAGTATATGCGAGAATGAAAATACAAAGAGCGAGCGAAAGAGAGAGAGAGAGAGAGAGAGAGAGAGAAGAAGAAGAAGAAGGAAAAAAACGTTGAACAACATGCTGTGTGAGTGTATGATTTGTGTTTCTGTTTCTGCTTGTAATGTATTTTCATTGATTGAACATTATTTTAATGGCTTTTTCTTTTTCTTTGCTTCTATAACAAAAAGCAGAGAGTTAACGCTAAACGCTTAAGTAATTTTAATACGTTACAATAAAAAAAATTACGTACGGATCGTAAATTTTCATTGCATGTATTCACACAATAAATGTCTTGAGGGAAGAAAAGGAAACCGAACATCACCAGGGAAGAGCCGACAAAAGAGGAAAAAAGAAGAAACGATGACGACGACGACGACGACGACGACGACGAGCAACAACATTTTTGGATATATCTTTTTAATATATAAAGTATGTGGAGT